TATATGTTTGCATATTGTAGATAGACACGGTGTTGAAAAATGAGTTCCCTGGAACATACTATGGTTCGGCCATCATTAGCTATTTTGAAGGCAGTGTAGGTGTTAATGCAGTCACTTACCTTGACGAATCCACGGATACCACGGCTGATCAGTTACAAGAAGTTCTCACAGATGCAATTTCTGAAGAAGGTCTCATCGGTGATCTAACAATAGAGCAAGACTCCATAGATGTCTCTGGTATGCAGCTTTACAATACCAACCAACCAACTATTCTTGGTTACCCTATGTCAATGTACATACTTAACATTAAATAATACTTATATCTTGCGTCATGGAATGTTTTGCCACTTCTTTTTGATAAATTGCTTATACGATATTGAAACAGTATGTTTCAGAAACAATATAACGATATTCATATTTCAATTGCTGATTGACCAACTCAACCAGGATCCGACACGCATAAATAACGATTGATATAGTTTTAAATGTTGTTAATGGCTAAAGTTAATTTATTTGTTAAAGTCTAACAAAATACATGAATCACTACAATGTTGAACTCGCTTCACAGGTTTCGAAGACAGTGCCTGTGCCCGCCCAAGTGGTAATGACTGTTCGCTCGACGCACAGTGTAAGGTCCGAGGTGACAGTTTCACGTGTGCCTGCAAATCGGGATACGAAGACGTTTCACCAGATCCTAGTACCAGACCTGGTAGGGACTGCAGCAAAAAAGGTAATGTTTAACCACAAACGCAGTTGCTGCAGTAACTCTTATAAAATAAGGATCTTTAAATAAAATAATTCTCTACAATCAGGACATACATTCTGCAATTACTGTAAGGAGCTAAAGAGAGAGAGAAAGAAGTACACATCATTAATCATGATGGTGCTAATTAGAGTAAAAACCATGAAGAGTACAGATGCAGAAAACAATGAATCTAATTGCCAAGTGCTTCGCACATGTCAAATGTCATGGAAACAATATTTGTAGTTCATGAACATGCAGACAAACAAGTAAATAACTTATATTTGCGATTTTTTTTCAATACAGACTCTTCCTATCTATTGATACTGGCAATATCGCTGGGGATATTAGGGGGCGTTCTTCTAATCGCCCTCATCGTCTTTATAATCATCTGTATACGAGTGACTAGAAAACAGAAGGGGAAGAGAAAAGTACCACTGCCAATTGCGTATCCATACGGTGTCACCCAACCAATGTATGGATGGCTGGATGGCAAGCGCAAACCACGGATGGCGTCTGACGAGGAGAGCTCCGAGGGATATGAAGAAACCAAAAGATTAGCGCGTCTGCACGCTAACATGGTGCACGCACGTCGAGAGAGGAAAGATGTAAGTTAAATTTGTCATCTTCCAAAGCGACCAATCAAGCTACAAAGCCCTCGGGAATGTATTTCCTTCATACCCTAACATTGAAAAGAAACTAGCGTTTTAGCCAAAGTGGTGTGTTACACCGAAGTCAGAAAAAGCATGCTTATTCTTACGCAAATAATTCTATTTGAAATCAGTGTCATTCAAATGTAAATCCGATAATCGAATAGACTATACAGGTGCCAAACTCTATTCCACAAAGTTCTCAATTATCAACCGGGCATACATTAGAATACTAGTAGTCTACGTCATTGCAAGAGCTACGTCTATTAACATTTTGATACATTCATTCATTCATTCATAAGGTACATGCCTTTGCTGACTTCTGCGTACTTAAATAGAATTGACTACACTAACTACTAACTTGACTACATAACATTTTATAGAATAAATTCATAGAAAGATGTAACCCTTTACTTACTGAGAACTCATCTTGTTTGTTTTTCGCGTGTACTATTTTTTACAGTTTCGACATCAACCAAATGGTCGTCGGCACACCAAACACCATCGCCGTTCAGCAAATGACAGATCGGATCGACATAAAAGACGCAACCCAGAATCTCTTACAAGCCATGGTCCGTATGAAGCTTCCCAATTGGCTCGCTCTCATACAGCAAAGGTAACTTTCTATCCAATAAACACAACGCTAATCTTTTCTGTTATTTGTCTTTGTCACGGGCGTGTCTTTGTCACGGGTTGTGGAAGGATTCACATCAGATTCGCGTGGATCTGCTCACACACGTGACATTCAATCTGGTGTTGATATATGGTATAGGTATAAATCTTATGTCGTGTATTTGACTCAATTACCGCATGTTTGTTCGTCATTTCTTAGCTCGTAATCCACCATCCCATTTTAACTCTTTTTTTCAGGCTAACAATAACGGACATTGTGTTTATATCAATACATATGCGTTCAAAATTGGTAGCGGGAAAAAAAGAGTTTTGAAAATTGTCTACGATTGGCCCGTCTTTTTCCTCAAAAGACGCATGTGTTAGTTTTGTCACTCTAAGCCTTGTAACTTCGAAATGAAAACTCCGATTTACGAGCTGAATATACAATGGGTGTTTCATGCATGAGCAGCTGACTGTTTATTTCACAATTTATTTTTACGTTATTATTTTTTTCTTATATTTTAATTATTTCTTATCCAAATTTACAGGAAGGACAGCCCAGCAGAAAGATTGAATTGACGAGACCTTACCGCCTTTCAACTGGACCAGGAGTTGGTGTTAGAAGAGACCCTGAATCAGAATTTATTACTCCCTATATTGCGACCGGGGACGAGGCTGCCCTCTTTCACTCGCGCACGTCAAAGGTATTACTCGGACGAATTAAACTGCATATAGAAACCTCATCAACGAACAATATTTCCGGCTCTAATAAATCATCGAAATGAGGATTTATTTGCTTTCAATATAATCGCAACATTGTTTTTTTTCTCAGACAGGACGTTTTGTTCAGATTTGCGTTAGGCTCTGTTTTTAATGAACCCTCTGAATGGTAGTCGATAATTAAACTTGTGGTTCTACCTCTGGGTTACAAGTCATTTGTCGAAGAGTACCATATGTCCATTGTATTTAATAACAATTATAATAGTTTTTTTTTACTTTCTTCTTTTTTTTTCTTCTTCTTCTTCAGGTTCCAGTAGACAGCGGCTTTGAAGTTGATGCAGATGAACAGGTGCAGTATATGAAGAAAAGCTTTCAGTTACCAGACAGAGATTACTATGTACCACAGGCACACCGATCTAGTCTAACCATGGATGACCAGTTCGGGGTTTAAACCAATCAAATCGCCAGACATTAATATAGTTGCGTGATTAATTATTCATGGAGTAACGCTGTTTGTGTCCGTGAACATAGTCTGCTATTTATGTGCCACGCTTTAAGCAACAACTTTGATTAGATCAGTTCCAATGTTCAACGACTTTGAGGTTTTGGAATAGCCTCGTTGATCATCAATATTTACAACTAGGGCGGTGCGCAGATCGAGAAATGCTATTTGTTTGATATATTTTTGTGTTATCCAAATGTTTACAATCAATGGTATCTATTTTTGTATCGGGGATAATTAGTGTTACCAGAGGTACATTACTTGGGGTTTGCAACAACGGTGACATGATACCAAGATCCCATCACAATCTCGCTCTCGCATAAGCGTTCCAACTCAGAAAAATGCAAATGACCATGCCCGAGGTAACTAGGATACTGAGATGTCCAGGTGGATCAAAATAGCTGCCCACGATATGACGGATTACGAGAACTATATTTTCTGTACATTTTCGATGTATTACATTTTTCACTACGATAGTGGCAAGAAAAGTTTTATTTTTTCATTACAAATCTTGAACATTGATACATGTATATATCATGTCAGAAGGTCGTAGCCTCAGTCTCGCTATCTACGAGATGAGACTTCAATGGGATCTTGACAGTCATGATGTCACCATACAGTACTATGCGAGTCGCAAACCCCAAGTAATGTACCTCTGGTGTTACCCATTAGTAGTAAGGGATATGCGATATCTCAATTACCCATCAACCCCATATTTGCCAAACTTGCCACATAGTTAAACAACACATTCCATACACGTACACACGAAGACAACTAATAAAACAATACAATACATTACATTATAGCATTATCAATACCAGTGGATTTTATGACGTCATTGCAGCAGATTATTCGCGATAACGTATTACATTATTGAGCATCAAGGCCCTGTACCATGGATATGAATACAATGTTGATTTCGAAAATGAATAAAGAAACTATTGAAAAAGAAAAGAAATTGTTAAATAACAAGTATTTAATACCACATTCGACATCAAATAAAACGGTCCATAACCAATAACAGCGAATTTCAATATCGAAATCGAACAATATTTTGAAGGCATCGTCGTCTGCTCTGTACGCTAACGCGCGATCGGTCGAAGCGTTCCATCTAGTACGCGCGCTTCTAGATTCCGCGACTGATGCCTCTGTCCTGGTGGCCTCCTAATTAGTTCGCATTATCGTGTTGATGAAGTGAGGTTAACCGAGGATAATTTATTCAAGCAAATGCGATAAACGAAATGGGGGTACAATGTATGTCTACGAGTACAGAGAGATGAATTTGTTCTGTGTTTGTACTACAAAATTTGCGAAATGAGATCGACGAAAGACCGACGTGACTTGTATTTCCTCGGCGTCGACTCCCGGTAAATGTAACAGTCCGGGCACAGTTTGTATAAATAAATGAAAGTATCCGTGTTTTCAGATGTGTATCTGTTTATTTATACAGTGAGATTAAAATCTCTGTTGGTTTTCCTTCTAGGATGGCTAACACCCACCAGCTTTCCGGCCATGTTCGTTCGCCCGCTACGCTACGTTTGACTTCAAAGTATTCGTCAAATCCCCGCCCTCCCGTGGAATTTAAAATAACTATTACACAGAATCCGTTCAGTTTCCAATAATATCTACCTTGATTGTTTGAAAACACTAGTGGGATGGGGTAACGATGCAACTACGTACATGTACCCCGGGTACGCATCCCTACGCACAGTCGATCCAGCTGGACCACGGCGGCGATCTAGCGTAGTGTAGTGCAAGCCGCGGTGGATACCGGATACGGCGTACCAGTCACGGTGTGACGTTCGCTTGGGCAATCACTGTAATGCTACTCCACACCACACATCAGTCACTCATTCACTCGCAATGTAATTGAGTTCAATACAATAAATATTTGATGGATTAAAACTAGTTTCTTAGTTTGCCATATAAGATTGTGGAAACAATTTCCAGAAAGACATTTTAAATTATTCAGATTCACGGGCCAGTGACTTTGAAACTATTCCGTTCACTGTAGATTTTTCTCCAAATTTTTCCGCTTTTTTAGAGGCAGCAAATCCACTGGTAATGACAACGCTACAAAAATAATAACAATAATGAACTCCCCGACAACCCATAATGGATTCAAGCACACTTTGTGCTTCATATATGTACTCGGCTCACGCCTCGTACATATACATGTATGTCGCACAAAGTGAGCTTTCGCCCATTATGGGTTGGCGGGTCGTTCATTATTGTTTAAATATACAATGGCATTATCTCGATAAAATAATATATACCACTCTTGTTCATAAAATATAAAACCCACCACGTAATACCATGTCCTTCTTTATGGAAGGCGTACATTTTAAGCGTTCTTATAGTCAGCACCTGTACATTAAGCGTTCGTATAGTCAGCTTGTACATGCTAAGCGTTTTTACAGTCAGCCCGTACATGCTAGGCGTTTTTTATATTCAGTACGTACATGCTAAGCGTTCTTATAGTCAGCAGCTGGACACTACGCGTTCTTATAGTCATCACGTACATGCTAAGCATGTATGCAGTCCGCACGTACATGATGAGCGTGTTTACAGTCAGCACGTAAATGCTAAGGGACGACGTCAAAAGATCGATGTCGGATAAAAAACGTAATTCCTTTAGTTTTTTTCCAAACCCCCCTA